CCAAACAAAGTAGTTTCGCTTTCACAACGAAGCACGCAGCGTCTTCACGACATTTCGGCGGCAACAATACTACAGCGAGAATAAAAGTTACGCCTTCTTTCTTTGCGTGAACATTTGGGCGGCGTTATGCAAATCTTCCCACATAGTGAGGTAGACATGTGGGGGCGTGTTCGAACGAGCCGTTTTAGGTAGGCGTGGCTGACTCTTAACTTTTATAAAGAATATCTCTTTGCATTTGAGACTTTAGTCTTTGCAACTTTACAGATCTTCTTTATGCACCAAGAGCTTGTAACACTCCAAAGAGAAAGGAAAAATTGAAATCGCATCAATTTAAATGCTTGAGCTCTTTAATGTCGGATGGATTCTGATTGGATGTCAATCAATAATCAAAAAATAATCACTCTTAAAGTGACTCCAACATAATTCCTGTCATTATCGCTATGGCTGTAGAGTTAGAGCATATCTCTATATAGAATAGAACTCAGATGTACTGTAGGAAAGACAAGGTCTAATAAGACAAAGGTGCGTCCCAATTCACATGCTCACTCACTGCTCTGTTCTGTATAAATAGCATGATTAGTGTGTTCACACCTACAATCACAACACGATCAAGTGCACTTCAGATACCTGCGTGATGCACTTAAATTACCAAAACACAAGTTTTTGAATATTGGACGTTTCATGCACTGAATGGTCACTGCTTTCATTACATAATGGAAGAGGAGATGGAAAACAACACTGCTTTCTAACTGCATCACTTCGCATCTCATTTATAATATACGAGGCCTTCAGAAGTCGTGAAACGCTTGTTTTTTTATGTCTAATCTAATTGAATATTTTTTCTGTTTTGTCAATATAATCGTAAAGTTGAACTGAAAAATGAACAAACGTTTTAGACATTTTACATTATTTTTGGCATAAAAACCAAAAACCTAATTTATGTACGAACATAAAACAGAGCGCTTGATCTGTACAAACATCTGATAAACGTCTTAGAAATTCTAAATCATAAACATATTTTTCTAAACATATATTTAACATCTGATGGGAAACGTCTTAGAGACATATTGCAGATGAACAATCTAAAAAATACAGCTTGCAGATGTAAATGCAGACATTAAATATATGTGATGTATTCAGTGTGTGTGCTCTCGGTATAAACTATCCAAAACACAAACGACAAATCATGCTCAGTGTGACATGGTGTGCCATATAACAGATTTACAGTGTGCAAAACACAAGCATCCAACACAGTTGTATCGTAATAAATATTAACCCTGAAGCATTGTCACATTGTGCACATCACGTGTGTTGATTCTGTTGATGTGTGCATGCGACCAATCGCGAGCGAGAATCATCACCTACACATCAAAGCAATTTTTTGGCAAACAAACTGAGGTTTACTGTTGAAATTAATACATGGAAGAAAAATTGTGTGAATATTCCTTTAAAATGTTTTTAACAGGCTAATCATTGTATTATTGTTTTTTCTACAATTAAGTGATTAATCTGGTTGTAATATTTATTTTTTATCATTTAATTGTTTTATTTAAATTTGATAGAAAATTGAATATTTAAAGATGTACATGTTACTGTACAAAAGTAATACAAGAGTAATATATTTCTGTTAAACTGTACTTTTATTTTGACAGGTTGCCATGAGGTTTCTGTGTGTATACAGTATAATGAAGCTAGTTTTCTCAAATGAAACGGTAAAATTCTCGTGAAGTGACTCTCACAGCAGCTCTGGAGATTAAGTTTTTGTGTTCATGCCGTTGTATAGTGAGACGCAGAGGCCGGGAATCACCGCGAGCGTTACGTGTGCTTCAGTATTTGTGTAGTAAACAAAACCGTGTTTCCAGCATTCATACATACAGAGGCAAGCGGAACATGCGCGATTCATATTTAAACCATATTTTTGCGTTTTAATATTCACAGACACTAGTTCATATCGCGATTCAAATTGAGTGGCAGACCTACTTTTGATTTATTCGTCCAAAATTGACGAATTCCGTGGCATTCCGCGCTATAGAGTAAATTACGTTTTTATGAACGGACTCCGCGATCCCGTCCGCGTTTTCTCAGAAACCGTATGGCTCTAGAAATGTAACCACACTTCAGAACATTTCGGCTCGCCCTGTGTGTTGTTTGAACGAGTCTCTCTTTCTCTCTCTGTAGCGTATGCGCCCAGATGCGTTCTCAGCTACTGAATTTTGGCACTGATTAATTTAACATGAGTCGGTACTCAGTAGTACCGACGCAATTCGGTCGGTACCCTTAAAAGTACCGAGTTCGGTACCCAACCCTAAGTAGCACAATGACCATATCCCAAATATCAAAACTCAAAATGTAATTTCCATACCTAAAATACATATTTTACAGTCACTGTTATGCATATTGATCATAAACACAGCTTCCTACACAAAACTTAACAGCAAGCGCAGTTTTATCATATGTAAAATGCAAAATATTTAAATACAAGCATTTCAGTCATATGTAGTTTATGCAATATTTCAAACCTTTAACCCATGGGGGGAAATCAACCCACAGCAACAGTTTAAAAGCAGCCCAATGTCGTGGAAAAAACTCAGACTTGGCACCCCTGCATCACACAGGAGCTGCAGCAGACTGGAGAGTCAGGAGAGATGACTGGCAGATTCTGGAGGATTTGCTGCTCAACAGATCCTGAGCTCAGTGACAAACATCAGATCTTTCAAATGTGCTCCACACAGAGTGCGCGTGATCGCGAATCCAAAGTGAACCGCGAGCGCGCATTCAAATACCCCGCATATATTGATAGCGCAAAAATTATATACAATATTAAAATGTTCACGGGAGCGCGCGGTAACGGTCAGAAATCCAGCGGGAGCGCGATTAAGAAAACTTTCTGAACTCTAAACAAGCTCTAAGACGCGGCTTTATGTGTGCGCGCAGTGTTCTATGTCAGTTTTAATTTACATGCATTCTAGATCATAAACATCTGCTAATCGTCTATTCGACATCTGATAGGAAACATCCTATAGACGTCTTGCAGATGAGCAAATATTCTAAAAATACATCTAGCAGATGTAATGCAGACGTCAAATAGAGGCCGAGAAAAAGTTCACTTTACTTTCCAATTTAATTAAGAACTTAACGGCTGCGCAGATGAAAGATCCTTCAGTTCTTCTAGTCTTTCAACTTTGACCCCTCGCGTCAGTCCGCTGCGGCTCCACACGCCCCTCAGCATCAACGCCTCTCGTTTACTTTGAATGGAGGGACTCAAGCGTTGGCGAAATGAATTGTGGGTCCATTGCTTGCGGCAGAAGTTGAAAACTTTTCGACTTTTCAAGCGCCACCGCAGACGTCAGCCAATCAGATCGCCTCATGCAAATACCCTAGTGCAGACGCTAGCCAATCGCGTTCATGCAACACCAGAAGACTA